AAAAAAAAAGAAAGAGATTTTGAAAGCGAGAGTGAAAGTACCATCACCGTTATGGACGAGATTCCACCATAAAATCCTGTAGACCCACCAGTTGTTAACGACAATATGGCAAGGCAAGGAAGAGGACAACAAAACCATAGGGATTTTAACCATATCAAAATGGCGGATGATAGAGACGTAGCCATGCGAGAGTATGCAGCTACAGCATTCCAGAATTTGGATTCGGTCATTTTGAATCCTATTCCAGAAGCTGCCAATTTCGAGCTCAAGCCGCTCATGTTTCAAATGCTTCAGACATTAGGACAATTTGGAGGGCGCGAACATGAAGATCCTCATGACCATCTCAAGACATTTCTTCAAACCGCAAATGCTTTTAGATTGCTTGATATCTCTGATGATGCTTTGAGATGAACTCTTTTCCCATTTTCTCTCAGGGACCAGGCGGGAACGTGGCTTAATTCTTTTCCACCAGGTTCAATCACCACGTGGGATTCGCTATTAGAGAAGTTTCTTACAAAGTATTTTCCTCCCACTCGCCATGCCGACATAAGAGAAGAAATTGTTACCTTTAGACAATATGATCGTGAACCAGTGCACGAGGCATAGGAGAGATTCAAGGAGTTGTTGCGGAAGTGTCTGCATCATGGATTACCAGCATGTATCCAGATTGAACATTTCTTCAGGGGTTTGGACCATCCCACTAAGATGATGCTCAACAATGCTGCAAATTGAGCCTTCACGAAGAAGACCTTCAACGAAATAGTTGATATTTTGGAGGACCTAGCGTCCCACAATGAGCTATGGTGTTCTCAAAGGTCGAAACCTGCACCTAAGAAGCAAGACACAGCAGGAGTGTTGGCATTGGACATCGCAACTTCAATGCACAAAGAGATGGTGATAATGACCCAAATGCTCAAGGATATGGCCTTGGACAGGAAGAACACACCGACCACACCGGTGCAACCTGCACAACCTGTGCAACCTGAATATACTGCCCCTTCTCCTGTTTGCCAAATTAATGAAATTGTTTGTTCTTATTGTAATGATAATCATCTCTATGAGAACATGTAAAAATGGTAAACTCTTTTTCCCTGGTTTGATCACCTCACTATGTCTTCGTCAAGGTGTTGGGATTCTGGAAGGCCAAATTGAGAGAAAGTTCCTGATGATAGAGGAACAGAACTTGAAGCGACTTTTGGGACATGCGCTTGCTCGGGAGGCAGTTCGAGGAGGCTCAACGAATTCTGAGATTCGAGCCCTGAGGGACATTGTCGTCGGTTGGAGCACAAATTGGAGGTAACAGAAGTGAAGTTGGTGGCCACAGAACAAAAGTTAAAAGCAGTAACACAGGTTACAAGAAATATGCATGAATAGTTAAAGGATGTCTTTAGCATTGGGGCTTGGCCGTTTGATCCATGAGGCCAATTCTTCATTTGAGGGAAGTTTTCTTCTCCTTCTTATGCTTGTTATATTATTTTTGGAATTTAGTTGCATGTTTAGGTTTTGGTAGGATAATATTGTGAGCTTTTCTCGTTGTTTCTGAGTTTAAATATGAAAATATGACCATCTAGTTTCTTCGTGTTTCGATTATGTTCTCGTTCTTGGCTTAGTGAAGTATCTTTCTTAAACAAAGCATGCTGCAATTTTAATCTCATTTAGTATTTTGGTGTGTCTTTTCTTGTTTTTCATGTCGATGATGATTTTTAAGGATTAGATAAACTTTGTTTTCTTTTTGTCCGAAAAAGCGATGAGCCATTTGTGACCAAGTTCTTTTCAATAGCATGTTTTCTTTGCTTTTATTCTTTTTGAAACTTAAACTTTTTCACCGTTTTATGAAGTCCTTGTCCTCTTTCATTTTGATTTTTGCATTGCCTCTTTAAAAATATTTTTCCAGTGATGACACTGTCTCTCTAAAGTTTGGAGGGACAGTCTTTTGCTCTTTGCTTTTAGAAAGAAAATGTTGTTTTTCCATTCATGAAAGAACATGCTATTATTTTTGCAAAAAAGAGTTACTAGAAAGAAAATGCATATAAAAAGAATCTTTGCAAGAAAAAAAAAGTCGAAAAAAAAGTCCTTAAAAAGAAAAAAACAACAAGTTTGCAAATAAAATAGTCCTCTTTGCTTGTGAGAAAATAAGAGTGGGGAAAAGATTTAAAATTGTGAGAGAAAAAGAAGAGAGGTAAGAAAAAGAGTGGCAAGAAAATGTCTTCATTTTTATCACTGTAGACACTCGTTGTAGCTTAGGTCGAGTGACGTAAGCAGCTTCGAGGGTAGGAATTGGGTCTTGTGTAACATCGTGCAACCCACCGTACATATGTTATGACCGGCTGTTACTTGAAAGGCCTCTACAAAGCTATGGAGGAAATCCCCACAAAGGCTAGTAGTCATTCATTCAGTGTTAAAATTTAAGTAAAAAGGGAAGCATGTAAATTCTAGAGCGTTGTCAAAAAGTTTTCATGTTTTGAAAAAGGAAAGAATTTTAAGAAACTTTTTATTGTTTTGAACTTTGTTGGCTTATGGTAATTTGGCTTTTGAAGATAGGTAGATGATAAGGTTTTGATGATCTTTCCCGAGACACCATATAAAAAGCAAGTCTAGTCTATCCTTATGTTCGATGTTGCTTATGATTGTTGCATGTGATTTAAGAGATATAAATTGTTAAGTTTGCTTGGGGACAAGCAAAAAGCCAAGTTCGGGGGTGTGATTTCCCTTGTTCGTAAGGGTAAAAAGAAGTTAAATGGGTGATGTTTTCTAACATTTTAAACTTGAAAACCGTGTTTTAAGCTTGGTTTAGTGTCCAAAACCTTTCATTTGAAGTTATCTTAGGTTATACATGCACATAGGACGTTTTTACATCATTTGGAGTTGATTTGTAATGGAAATTACAATTTTGTGCAGAAAAATATCGAGCTAGGCGCTTGGCGCCTTCCTCAATCCTGAAATACCCTTAATGTAAAATGCACGTTTTTGTGTGATTTGAAGCCTCCCCAAGCCCTGCCAGGTGTCTTCCATGCATTGAAGATTGCCAATTCAACAACAAACCAATTTAAAGGTGTTTGAAATGGATGGCTCTCCACAAAGCTCTCAACCTCCTAACCACCTTGAAGTCCCTATAAATTCAATAGCTCGCGTTCTCTTCATTCATCATCCCGGAGTGATCATTTCAGCTTTTGACATTCTCTTTCAGCTTATTTCTGTTTCCTCTTTAAGTTTTTGAGTTGTTATTGCTTTAAACCTTGCTTATTTATAGTTCACCATTTTATTTCCAGCTTGTTAGTCTTGAATTGTAAGCTTTAATCTTGTTTAATTAAAATTCTAGCAAGTTCTTTGTTACTCATCTCTCTCTCTTTCTCATTACGAAGTTGTAATCACTCAACCTTGAGGAATCGACCGAGTATTGCTCCCCAATCTTGAAAGAGAACGGGTTAGAGTCATTCGGGTTACAACTCCACCATTTTTAGCTTGTTTTAATCCTTTAATCATGTTGTCTACTTCCATCAATATTAAATTCTATTTTTCCTTTATTATCATGAGCTAAATTTATCTTTCTCAAGCCCGATTATGGATAGTTAGCTAAAGTTTTTAAAATCCAGCAAGGCAAAAGGCGTTTTTCTCCCATTTTATCACTTAGAGTTGTTTCCATAAGTTCAAACTTGATTTGGTCAATTAATGTTTTAGCCAAGCATCAATACTGAAAGGGTTGATACGTTTTCACAACTTTACTGGTTTAACTTTAGAGAGAAATACTTTAAACATAGATATTTCACTCGGGTAGCCTAGACATAAGACCTCGACCTAAGGTTACGCTTGGTTTTTATTAAATTAAGTTTTTTTTTTCTAATAGACATATTAGGAATGGACTTATACCTTTAAAATCACTTAGACATAAGAAGATGGTGAAATAAAACCGAAGAAATTTATGAGAGGTGCCTGACGCCTAGTTGGAAAAAGTTTGCATATTTTTAGCTAATTTGAAGTAACTAGGCTTGGTTTATTGCATTGAGTCTTTAAATATCAAAACCAACATTATCCCTATTATTTGTTACCCCAAAATTAATTACAAAGTCACTAATCAACATCATTTTCATTAAAAGAACTTCGT